AGGACATCATAAATAGGCATTTCTTCGTTCATTGTTCTTGAAAATGAATGATAACAACAACAAATGCAAACGGCGGGAAAAAAGAAATTTTTGACGTGCGCGAGCGTGTTTTGATACTGTAATCAAACATGGTTTTCGACCAATCACAGCGCGCGTAGTATCCTAAATATTTTAGAAAACGATATTATTAACATAATAATCATGAGATTTGAATTTTAAACTATCAAAAATTGACCAGTACTTATAAATTGGCTGAGTATTTACTCAAAAACTAAAATATTATCATGTAAAACAAAAGGTGAAAGGAAAACAAAATCAACGAATTATGAATAATTTTTTGGGTTTACTGTGTTTTAACGTCCAAGAGGACTAGGTATTATCGGCAGGCAAAGCATGCTAGTTAGTGTTTTTCAAGATGTCTACCGGAGCTGTTGTAGCGTGTGTTGTCATTTCAACAGCTGTTATTTTCAATTTTGCTTTGCACAAGATAGAAGAAGGTAAAYTTAACATAATTCTAACACATTGGACTTTATATCCTGTCGAAATAAACCCGATCGCACTTGGTTCTGCCTTGCATTGGCTATTTTGTTTGAGGTAGAAATTGTCACGTAATATACATTCATTATTGCATCGATTCTCTTTGTGTAAAAACATTATTCGAAGCAGAATTTAAAATGATTTTAGCAATAATACTGAAGTTGTACAGTAGTATTAAAGTTATTTATGAATAGATTCTTTTGAGTTTTACTAGTATMTATTTATTTTCATAACAACTTAGAATGCGCGTGCCAATATTGATGGCATATGGTTTGTAAAAACCAATGAAAGCTCAAACTAACAAATTCACCTGCTGATATTGTTAATATGCTTATTGTTTAATCCCTAACTAATCTCAAGGTCCTCAGCTCTGTATTRCTTACATCCTTCTCATATAGTTTTATACGTAAAGTTTTATGACGTTTTTTAGTTATTATTTTTTTACGCATATTTCTATTCTAGGTCATGTTGGAGTATACTATAGGGTATGTACATTCACCAAGMCTATTCTGAATTTTGCATGACAAGGAGTAGTTTCTTTCAGCCATTTCTGGTGTTCTCAAAAAGGTGCACTTTTCACAACACCTGAGAATTACCAGGTTGCAAAGATTCTAGAAAAGGACAGTAGAAGTTTTTAGTGAAAATAATAAATTTAGATGAATGAAATTGCCATTTAAGCATGTCTTAAAGTTTGAGCAGTCAAACATCAATGCTACATAGTCGTGACCAGCTCACCTACTTCCTCAGCTGAGTCACACTCCTACCAGACCAGTCCTCACAGTTTGACAAATAACCTGATAGACAATTGCCACAATATGACATATTTGATGTTATTTTGTAGGGTGGTGCTTTGTTACAGAGTACAAGTGGTCCAGGATACCATTTTATGATCCCATTTATAACATCATTCAGATCTGTTCAATCAACTTTACAAACTGATGAAGTCAAGAATGTGCCATGTGGTACAAGGTAATAGACCTGATATTGTTAGGATCATAGTGCAGACTACAGGGGTGGATCCAGGATTTTCCTCAGGGAGGGGTGCAGGGTGCATTGCTCTCAGAGGGGGGGGGGGGGGGGGTGCACCTCCTGCACCCACCAGCAGGATCCACGATCCGCCCCTGGACTATATGCAACACCATAATGCTACCTTGTCTGGGATGGACCCTTAGATACTTAGCAGACTAACAAATCATGACTATTAATTGTTTTTCTATATAGTGGTGGCGTAATGATCTACATTGACAGGATTGAAGTAGTGAATATTTTGAATTCTGATAATGGTGAGTTTCTATAATAAATTATAAAACTCATTAATATTCATAAGGCAAAACACAATAGAAATCATAGCCCATGAAGAGAGTTGTATATTACATACAGATTTCTTGTTCATTTGCATAAACTTTTACTCTGATTTTCTCAGTCAGATTGAATTTTTTTTCAAAAGTTTCTTTAAAACCTGAGCTAATTTACCTTAACGTTTCATAAGTAATATACAATATTCGCGCGCTGTTTTAAATCCTCATACAGATCGCCCGCTCATATTGTATATATTACATAAAATACCATTACACTTTTGCATTATGTTTTTTTTAGTTTATGAAGTTGTTAAGAGGTACACAGCCGATTATGATAAAACTTTAATATTCAACAAAATCCACCATGAACTCAATCAGGTAATAATCTATGTTCTTGTTTGCTTCTGTAATGTTAATACAGGCTTACCCTCAAATCCAATATATGTTATGAGGTATCTATTCCTTTGTAGTTGTGTATGTTTATGTAGATAGGATCAGAGATATAACAATTATTTTATCTCTTTTTCTCCTTTAATGTATGATGTTTTTAGTTTTGCAGTAGCCATACCCTTCAGGAGGTATACATTGATCTGTTTGGTAAGCTGCAAACTTATACCAGTTACATTTAAAATAGAGTGGATGACTGTGCAACGGCATGATTCACAACAAGGGCACRGCACGGTCACAGAACCATACAAAATGATACAAAATCTGCTCTAGTAATGCTTAACTTTTTTTAATACTATTACTATACAGATCAAATTGATGAGAATCTAAAGATTGCACTACAGAAGGACCTTCTTGTCATGGCTCCTGGACTAACTGTTCATGTATGTTTATAGAGTACTAACGTGTGACGTCACAGAAATAGTTTTTTTCGAATTTTTCGGATTCATTGACATATCCTTAAGGCGCATGGAAAAAAGGAGCTATCTACCAAATTTCAGTGTCCTAGTGCCATTTATAGCGGAGATACAAGCGATTTTATGGTCGGATGACCACATACAAACGCTTGTAAATTTGGTCTTGTTCCTTTCGTTATGAACAAGACCAAATTTACAAGCGTTTGTATGTGGTCACCCGACCATNGATGCACTTTCAGAATATGGAGGGCAAATCTCAAAACTCAAACATTTTCGTTTTGTGACGTCATCACTTTAGTACTCTATTGTGTGTACTGATAAATAAATGAGAAAGGGAAAAAGGATAAATGAATGGATGGATGAACAAGCGAGCAAAAAAACATGATTTCATGATTTACAGAATCCTTGTTACTTATATTGACAGGCTGTGAGAGTAACAAAACCAAAGATTCCAGAAAGTATCAGAAGGAATTATGAAGTAATGTAAGTGAGAAATGTTAAAGCAACATTTGATGCTAAATACTTGTTATTAATACTGTAGCCTGAATATCAGACATCTCAACAACATGACCCAGAGGAGATGTCTGATATTCACACTGTTAATACGGATCAACTTGTAAGGCATTGTAAGTTGATTATAATGAAATATTATCAAATTAATACTGTAATACCGTATATAACTAGATAATCTGGTCAAATTTCTACTCTATTTGTCTGGACAATGAGCTTGTTACATTTTTATAGTTCAATRTTTATTCATGTGTTGGTAAATTCTAGGGAAGGAGAGAAAACTAAACTGATGATCGCTCAGCAGAAACAAAAAGTCATAGARAAAGAAGCTGAAACTGAGAGAAAAAAAGCTGTCATTGGTATGATTGTAGTTGATTGTACAATTGTACGATTTTTATGTTATTCCCTTTCATTCAGCATCTTATACATGCTGAATTCAATGCAAATTACTCCAGTTGTTTGTGTCTGCACATTTTGTGAGCAGTTCTYTTGTTGTCATCTACTTTTTTACTTCCATTCTTGGAAGTATCCATCCTGCATTTATTCAATACTTCCATCCATTGATAGAGGCTGAAAAACAGGCACAGGTATCCCAAATCCAGTACCAACAGAAGATTATGGAGAAGGAAAGTCTTAAGAAGATGTCACTKATTGAAGGTAAGTATTATTACCAACCTCCACAGGCAACCCAACAATTTACCCTTTTGGGGTCACTGATGCAACCTTGTGGGGACTTGGGTAACCAGTCTCCCTCAGTCATGAGGAAGACAGGAAGCCATAAGGGATACCAGGATGGTAAKTTCTTTTGTGTTTGCAGATGACACTCATCTGGCTAGAATGAAAGCTCGTGCTGATGCAGATCTCTAYATTGCACAGAAAGAAGCAGAGGCCAATAGAGTAAGTCTTAAACTTTAATTACCAGAAGTCTCCATCTCACATCCTTGTGCCATCTTGAATAGTAAGAACACCTTTGTATCAAACATCTGTGAACAATTTGTTTGTTTGGA